GAGAGAGACTCACACACTCACAGATACAGAGAGACATATATTCTCAGAGAGACACACACACTCATAGACGGAGAGAGAGAGAGACACACTTACAAACAGAGGGGAGAGAGACATGCAGACACACTTACACACTTACAAAAAGACTTATGTGTAGAGAGTATGTTAATAGCCAGAGTCTGAGTAATATAACAGTGAGAGCTTTTAACACTTGTCAGCCAAGATGCGGAGACTTCCACATCTGTAAACTGGATATCCTGTGGATTTTCAGCTCACACTCTGAAATGATGAAAAGTACTGATAACTATTGCACTGATAAAACTACTCACACATCCAATATACCTAAATTGCTGTAATGCCTTCAGGTTCCTTCACAGTTGTGCCCCTCCCAATACAATACATGTGGTCTCTTTCAACCCTATTCTGTCTGTTCCTTCCAGTTTTAAGAATCAGGCCACTGTTTGCTCCTTATCTGTGTTGTTCTGCCTACCAATGACAGCCCGGCATTTAGGGGTGGTTACTGCCATCTCACAAAGAGCTGCTTCATCAGCCTCCAGAGGTAGTAGCGCAAGACATAGCAGAGCAAACAGTCATTCCATCTGTCCCGTTTGTTCTGCTATTGGGATTCTACAGACCAGCAACAACATCAACAAATTGCATTTATATAATGTGTTTCATGTCAGGAGGATGTCCCAAGGCGCAAGACAGTTGAGGGGTTGCACTGGAGCTGGGAGTTGAATTCGGGGTGGGGGAGGAAGAAAGCGCGGTCAAAGAGGAAGGTCTTGAGACATACTTTGAAGAAGCGAGGGAAGAGGCGACGCCATATGACTGATTTGGTCCGGGTGCCACGGTTTGGCCAGCATGACATTAGGATATTAACTTCATGAGAGAAGTAAATCATTCTGCATTTGCACAAAATGTATTTCAATGCAAATATGAGAAGGGCAGTTATTTCATTTTAAGGGCCTACGTGATGAATGTAAGCCATCTCAAACAAAGCTGTACATGGGCAGACAAAACTTTGGTTTAAAGTCTCATCCAAAGGATGGCAAACTCACCCGCAGCACTGCATTTGGGTGTCAGCGTAGAGTATACAAGTCCAAATCTCAACTTGGATTTCAGTCCACAACCTTCTGATTCAGATACAAGAGTGCTACCAACTGAGCCAGGTTGACACACCTTGCATTACAAATGTAATGTTTTATTTGAATACGTTGGTTTTTGCAATTTTCACTTCTGCAAATTGTACTTCTAAACAGATGACATGCCTTCTGTTCCATGTTTCATAATAACTTTGAGATGATTACAGTTTTTGTTGTGCTTAGGTAGGGAAGCACAAGTCTTTACATTTGCTTTGAGACTAATCGGCTTTAATGTCTTCATTTAAGAACATTGGTTGCATTTTAATAGTTACTGATTTGTTTCCATGCCTTTGCTAGTACTGTTGTGAACCTGCTGCTTGGAAGCACACATAAGTGGTTTCAGGTGAGGGGTGTGTATCTGCGTAATTTCAATTGTAATGTAATATATTTTAAAAAAACTTACATTTGATCTCGCACCTTTTCCATTGGGAGGACGTCTCAAAGCTTCTCATACTAGATTTCGCTGTAAAGTGAAGTGACTCTTTCAAGGTGGGTCTGCTGGGTTTGGAGCTTCTTCCACAGCGGAATAATTTGGGATAAGGAACTCAGCAGTGTGAGGGGATTGATTTTGTGACACGCCCCCCCCCCCACTGCTCTCATTTTCAATCAGTTGCTGAATTTTTCTGTAAAGGCTTAAAAATTCCAGATTTCCTTGGAAATGGTGTGATGCTTAACACATACAGACACCATATATACTGAGTCGGATAGGTACATCTGACACATAATATGTCTGCCTTATTGAAAATACCCGTCAAAACGATATTGTATAAGTGAAATGAACTCCCTTGTCAAGGCAGGAAGTTTTAATGAAGCTTGTTTTGTTAGATTCCAGTTCCTCTGTAGAGTGTTACTCTTGAATATGCAACTATTTCATTTTCTAAGCTCTGTTTTATTAGATTGCCTTGTTCTTAATGCATTTTCTTCTTAATGCATTTTTATTGAGTTACCATTATAGAGGATTTGTACTGACGGTCATTTCAAATGCAAAAAAGGGACTGGTGCATTTCGTGATGATCTATTTCAATGAACACTGGAAGTTTTAGTAAAGCAAGTAAATTTAAGCTAAAAACATGTCTGAAGTTTGTTCAGATCAATCTGATTTAAAATTGAGTACAAGGAACACAGGAACCACCCAGGAACTTGGATAAGAAAGTGATTCATTTTGTTGCCAAGTCAAAATAGACACGCGCAATTATGCAACCCTTCCACCATTCAGATAATAATCTCTCATGAATAACTTTGAGATGAGGATCAATAACGAGACTTCCATGCCCTCATTTGATGTTGTTGTGAAATTGTTCCAGAGTTTCATTGTGGTGTGAGTTGAATTACAGCTGTTAATATTTAATATGTGGAGTCCTGTAGCTCAGTGGTTAGAGCACTCGCTTTGCAAGCAAGAGACCTGAGTTCAATTCCAGGCAGGGCGAAACCTTGGGCAAGTTTCCTTACTCCACACAGAGCCTAATAATAATCCCTCCAAAACCAAAAAAAAAAACAATAATAAATTGGTCATTTTCAATCTACGACTGTTTGTGGGACATTGCTGTGCGCAATTGGCTGCCGCGTTCGCCCACAAATATACAGTCAATTCACTTTACAGTATATTCTGTGAAGCGCTTTGGGACGTCCTCCCGACGTGAAAAGCGCTATATCAAATGCAAGGATTATTATTATTATTATTAGAGCACTCGCCTCGCAAGCCAGAGACCTGGGTTCTATTCCCAGCAGGGCGAAATGTTGGGCAAGTTTTCCTAACTCCACATGCCTTTGTTTACCTAGTAGTAAGTAGGAACCTGGTTGTTAGTCAATTGGTGGATCGCTTTTCTGGGGATGATAATCTTTTTTAAAGAAAAAAATTATTTGGTCACTCAGTCCATGACTGTTGTGCACAATTAGCTGCTGTGTTTCGCCCACAAGTATACGGTCAATTCACTTTACTGTATATTCTGTGAAGCGCTTTGAGACATCTAGAAAACATGAAATAACAGAATAAATCGTCACTTAGACAAATATGGTTTAATTAGCCAGCATTAAAGGCAAATCTTGTCTAACAAATCTATTAGAATTTTTCAATGAGGTAACGGAGAGGGTGGATGAAGATAGTGCAGTTGATGTAGTTTATATGGACTTTCAAAAGGCATTTGACAAAGTGCCACATGAAAGACTTAGAAGAAAGATAGAAGCCCATGGTATAAAAGGGACAGGCTGTTAAGGCATTGGAAAGGGTGCAGAGGAGATTTACGAGGATGGTACCAGGAAAGGCTAGAGACGCCGGGATTATTCTCGTTGGAGCAGAGAAGGTTACGAGGAGACCTAATAGAGGTCTTCAAAATTATGAGGGGATTTGATAGGTTAGAAAGGGAAAAACTGTTTCCACTGGTGGGTGTGTCAGTGACTCGAGGTCACAAATTCAAAATAGTCTCTAAAAGAAGCCGAGGGGAGGGGAGAAGACATGTTTTCAGGCAGCGAGTTGTTCGAATCTGGAACGAGTTGCCTGAAAGGGTGATCGAGGCCAATTCCATAACTACTTTTAAAAATGCGGTGGACGGGTATTTGAGGAGGACAGGTTTGCAGGTTATGGGGAAAGGGCCGGGGAGTGGGATTGACATTAATTGCTTTATTCAAAGAGCCGCAAGACTCGAGGGGCCGAATGGCCTCTTTTTGTGCTGTACGATTCTATGATTCTATATCAAATGCAAGGATTATTGTTTAAATGAGTGGTGTGAAAAAATGTGTCTAAAAGAGTTTTCCTGTGATCTAGCCAATAATCCCCCAAATCATCCAACCCAGAAAGTGGACATTTTGTAGGAAGTGAGAGGCCAAACAGTGGTGGTTTTTTGGATAATTGTTTTTTTGTAACGTTGGAAACCCCCTCACCCCACCCCAATCGTGTTATAAGTGCAGCCGCACATCTCTATACCAAAGCATGTTATAACAGACATTCCACTTCAATACCACATATTCCGTCAGAATTTGGAATTCCAGCTCACACTGTGAGAAGTTGATTGCCTACAAATACTGAGTCACTAGATGTCATTGAAATTGCATGCAAAGTGCTGTGCCATGTTTCAACTTTATTGGAGCTACGTCAAATGCAAGAATTATTTGCTTGCCCAATTTTGAAAATGGAAGATTGACAGATATTGAATTTAATTTAAATATTTCAAAATAGATACTAGTTACCTTCAGATCACATTATGATCCTTGACGGGACAGGAGTGGGGAAGGTGATAAATTTATTGAAGCATTTCAGAAAGTGGGATACATGAGTTCTGTAAGTCTTGAGAGAGTTTCTAGAACCAAGCCTGTTCGTTTGGGTATGAGGCAGATAAAGTATGGTATTAGCCAGAAATATAACAACACTGACCTTGTGTTAAAATACAACAAAATTACAATGGAGTTGTTGGTTAAAAACAATGAGACAAAACATATCTCCAGTTCCCAAGTGATGAATACCACAAAAGTTGTGAAAAGGGGTTTCTTAGACTTAATGTTTTCTGTTTGTGCTAATTATTCAGTATATTCTCAGAATTCCTCCAATTGCTGAAATCATCCTCCAGTTTCCCAGTGCTAGAGATAAAGTTGCCTCTTTATGTTTGATCAACCTTTTCATAAAGATAATGGATAATCCACCTTCCCTGGTTCTGCATCAGGCTCCACCATTGTTAAGTGCTCTGGAGGGCGCTATATAAATTCACGTTGTTGTTGATAAATAGACAGAGAAATGCCACCCTTAATGTGAAAACACTGGCTAGCAGTCATATAGCTGGTTCGCGATTTTCTGCCCTCCCGTCCCTCCTCTCGCTCCCCCCCCCACCCACCCCCAAACTCCCCAACTACTGCATTATTACAGGGCTCCACTCCAGTGTTTATTCAACACCTGCACAGCCTTTTCTCTCGTTTTATGTAATCGGGATAATGTGTGAAACTGCGTTTGTTTCTGGAATTGATATGGAAGTTGCACTGAACTGTAGGGCAACTACTGTGTCCAATCATTAGACAGTGTCACTTTAGTGCAGTTCTCTTCACCCACAAAGTACAGTCAATTCATCTTATAGTATATTCTGTGAAGCGCTTTGAGACGTCTCAATGATGCGATAAGGCGCTATATCAAATGCAAGGATTATTATTCTCTCGTTTCTCGTTCCCTTAATTTTCCTTCTGACCCAGTCACACATGGCCTTTGGAAAACAAATTAGCATAACTGGGTGCTTAATCCTTTTTCACCTTACTTTTTTTAATTGTTTGGGCATTCTGTATCCTTCCACTTACTTTCACAGCCTGTTATGTTTTTTAAAAAATCCTTTTATATCATGTTTACATTTTAGAAATTCCTGCACAATCCGAAACTGGATTTATTTCCTGGTCGTGCTTTCCTGTTCCTCCTAAGAAACTTATATCCTATCTTGGTTTAAGCAGTCACATGTATTTGTTCCCGTATCTGTGATTCTACAATAGCAAGAGTTTATTGAGCGCTGGAAAGGAATTGTAAAATGGTACAATTCGTAAAAAATTTTCCTGAACTCTGCTAACAAATGTCATTATTACTCATTACCAATTTACAATGTCTCCCAAACGATTGTATCGACCTGGCTTAGTGTTAGAGTTCCCTCTTCTGAGTCAAAAGGTTGTGGATTCAAGACCCATGTCGGGTCTTGGAATTCCACAGTCTAAGCCAGTGTGGTCCAGCCTGGCGGGGGATCTTATGCAGTCCACAACCATTCCCAACATTCCCACTTCCACTCTCTCCCTGATGAATGTCCTCCCTGGGCAGCCGGTGTCCTCCCAACCTCCAGCTCCTGCTGTTGGCCTGTGAGAACGTTCACCAGGGAGGGAGCGGGTTGAAATGTTGGGAATGGTCTTGGGCCGAATGCGGGCTGCATGCTGGATGGGGCCCACAGACCTTTCTCAAATAGGGAATACGGCCCACGGCAGCCAAAAGGTTGGACCACCTTGGTCCAAGCTGACACTCCAATGCAGTGCTGTGGGTGTGTTGCATTATCTGAGGCGCTGACCTTTGAGTGGACATTAAAACCGAGCTACTGTCTGCCTGTTCAGGTGTTGAAAGATCCCGTGGCTTTATTTGAAAAGAGAAGGGAGTTTCTTCTAGTGTCCTGGCCCCCAATTAAATTGGCCACTTACTCCATGGCTGTTCGTGAAACATTGTTGTGTGCTGCTGCTGTGTTTTGCCATGATTCCTAAGCTTTGGTTGAATTGAGTGTTGAGACAGCAATAAGAACAGCATGTGTTCTGAGTTATTTCTTTGCACCTTCTTATTCCTCTTTTCTTCAACCCCCTCACCTCCACCCCCCACCGTGTGTGGCAGTGATCATAAACACCTTTAGTTTCATGGGCATAAACCTCTGTCTCACCGCTCCTATGATTGTATGCGCAATTGGCTGCCACGTTTCGCCCATAAATATACAGTCAATCCATTTTACAGCATATTCTGTGAAGCGCTTTGAGACGTCTAGAAGACATGAAGAGCACTATATCAAATGCAAGGATTATTATTAATTCACTCACAGTTTTTCACCTGTGCTATTTCCAAACTGTAGTAATATGTACACATTTGCACAAAGAACATTAATCAAATGACTGTGCTGCAAGTCCTTGTGGAACATTCCAATTTGTGCAAGAAATGGCATGTTCTCAGTGCCTTTTTAATGTATTTCACACTGACTGTGTTCTCAGCTACCAATTTAATCTTGGTCACTGCTGACAGCTTTGTCTCTGCAGTGAGAGTTCTCAGTTACAAATTATTAGAACGTTATGAATACAGTACTTGTTTTGTTTTAAATTTTATTTTCCAACATGTATTCATTTCACTTGAAATTATCTTTTTCTACTGTAGAAGATTACAATAAAATTGACATTTATACAGAATCTTTTACATTAGGAGGGCGTCTCAAACGTGTTTTGCACTGCTGACCGGGCACCTGAGCTAGGGGCATGGGATCTGGAACATTGCAGAAATGTTACCGAAATGCATAGCCACCTAAAACTCATATTTTTTCTAGACCTTTATGACAAATACAGTATTAACTAAAGGATTGATTTCTAATCATGTAAATTAATCTGGAATGCACTGCCTGTCTGGGTGGTGGAAGCAGATTCAATAACAATTTTCAAAAGAAAATTGGATATTTACTTGAAAAGAAAAGTATTACAAGGTTAAGGGGATAAGAACAGGGGAGTGGGACTAGTTGGATAGATCTTTCAAAGAGCCGGCGCATGCATGATGGGCCGAATGGCTTTCCTCTGTCCAGCAGGATTCTATGATTCCATAACTAACGATTAATAAAGGAATAAAAAAGATTTGACGTTTATTGATGTAGGTTAATTTTGAACATATTACGTGCTGTCTGGCAACAACTGTTACTAATACCCGATGTTGAGTGTGCAATGGTGGAAGTGTGTTTAATTTAATAAAAAGATGATTGAGGACCAGTGTTGATGTATTTTTCAAATGAGATTGAATCGATATGGTGTCAGTGGATAAATGGGCATGTTCCGGGAATGTGTTTTTAATATTTTATTTGCCTTATGAAGGGCATATCCAGACAAATTTTAGAAACCATGGGTGCAATTAATGCATATAATGAGCACAATGAGAAACTGATGAAAACGTAGCCCCATAAGCCTGCTGAAAGACTGAGATGGCAATGCAATGTGGTTTCCAAAGAGACCTTTAGGTAAACAAGAACAAAAGATAATATGTAAGGCTTACAACTTTCAGAATGACGGTTTTAAATGACTGCACTGCGAAGATTTCTCTGGATCTGTGTAGCAAATTTGTATTTACAGATTATCTCAATATAATAATAAACCTCACATTTTATATAGCGCCTTATCACTTCTTTGAGATGTCTCAAAACGCAGAATATACTGTAAAGTATATATTTTGTGGGTGCCAATTGTGAGCAAGTTATTATTTATTTTTTTGAAGAATTATTACCCCTGGAAAAGCGATCTGCCAGTCAACTAAAATATGGGATGTTTATCAAATACAGAAATTGCATAATCTCTTTCCTGGCCAAATTGATGCGTGTTTGCCGGAAGATTGACCTTACTCACTAATGTATTAAAGCATTTTTCTATTCACGCTTGTTTCTAAATGTTTCATAACAAAGTTGTGACATGTCCTGTATGACAAACCTTGATCCATATGATGTTTGTTGCTAATAAGCCATTTCCTAATTTTGTGCTTTTTTTTTGTTTTTTTCAGAGACCAAAAAATTACTCAGTTTTTCAATCCAAGTCGAAGTAAAGGTTAGTATCTGCAAACATATCTGCATTATTTTTTATTAGAAAGCCAATCAATTATATACTGATTTGAAATTATGTTTTACAAGAATGTATTTTGTGTGAGGGGTGGTGGGGGTGGGAGGTGGTTGTGGTTCCAGAGCGGCTGGTTTCTCTTGCGCACTTCTCCAAAATGAGTGATGTAAGTATTATCCTACGTAGGCAGTGTTACCAGTTTGTAGTATTTGCTGCTTCTGCTCTGAACAAATTTCCATATCTGTTGGCCTAAAAGACAACAGTGCACCCAAGAAGTTAGGAGGATTATTAGCCTCTCATCGCAATCCGGTGGAACCTCTACAAGAAGACAGAAGGCAAAGAGTTGGGTGTGAAAAAATGGATCAGTATGTACTTGCCCTTCTGTCGTATCATGGACCAATATGACTGGATTAAAGATGCATAGAAAATCAATGCAACTGGAAGCTGACTTTTCCTTTATCCTCTTCAGATGATCTATAATCTTTGGTGAGCAACTTTGAAATGATAGAGAATTTTCAATTCCACTCCACTTCAGCTATGCATTTAATAGAATGGCAGAACAGACTTGAAGGGTTGAATGGCCTACTCCTATTCCTATGTAGACAATTGCTGCCGACAAGCAGCTTCTCATTCCTCCTCTGAAATCTCAGTTAAAATTGGCCACCCAAATCCTCATTGTTCCTATAGATATCAGCAAAGAATTCAGCAGTGGGAATTAGTCTATGCTCCTCAACCCAACTAATTTGAAAGACCCCTTGTGTCATCTGCCTGGAATCCTGCCATTTCAAGCAAGGACATAGTGATGCAAAAGAAATCTTTTATTTAAAAAAAAGTCACCAACATTAAGTGAATGCTTTTCTTGTGGCAAAAGGAATGATAAAATCAAGTCACGCTCCCAGCTGCAGATGACTCGGAAACCTATGGAAACCAACTAAGGCTCAATGAGGGATTGATTGGTTGCCTCAACGAGGGGAAATGGACAGTTCTTTGTGGAACATGAAAACAATGGTATCTGCTTCATCCAATGTCTTTGACTACACTTAAAATAGAAAGAGATTATCACAGCAAAGGGGAAATATCCTGCACCACCCAATCTGGGGACAGAATGAAACTCTTTTTCTGTTGTTAAGCAGCCTGATAGTTAGATATATATTATCAACAACTTCAACAATAAATTGCAATTATATAGTGCCCTCCACCCCAGGCGGCGTCTCAGAGTGCTTAACAATGGCCGAGGCCGAGCCAGGGGGAGGGGGAAGGTGATCATAGGCGCGGTTGAAGAGAAAGGTCTTTAGGCGTGACCTGAAGATGGGGAAGGAGGGAATTCCAAAGTTTCAGGGCGAATTAGCTGAATTAATTGATGATTGATTTTTGCTGTTTCAATGCATTTCCAAACAGGTAGGATACTCAATGCATGCAAAGCACATGTGTAATTAATATTCTTTATTGGTTAGTACATTTCTAAAACATTAATTTATCCCAAGTGGGGAACGGGGGAGATCGGAAATCCAAGTTCTATTTGGACAAAAACAGTTATGGATTCAGTGACCAAATAATAATTATTATTTTTGTGTTTTTTTTGGAGGGATTATTACCCCCGGAAAGTGATCCGCAATCAACTAACAATCAGATTCTTACTTACTGCTAGGTAAACAGGTGTATGGAGTTAGAAACCTAAGGTTTTGCCCTGTCCGGGAATCAAACCTGTGTCCTTTCGCTTGTGAGGTGAGCTGGCTATGGGATATAACAACATCCATCAAAATACACTACATGAGTCTCCTGTAGTGTAGTGGTTAGAGCTAGCAAGCGAAAGGTCTTGGGTTCAATTCCCAGGTGGGGCAAAACCTTAGGCAAGTTTTGTTACTCCACACACCTCTGTTTATCGAGCATTAAGTAGGAACCTGGGTGTTCGTTGATGGGTAGATTGCTTTTCTGGGGGTAATAATCCCTTGAAAAAAAATTATAATAATTGGATCACTCAGTCCACGATTGTTTGTTTCACTGCCGTGTGAAAGTGGCTGCTGCGTTTCGCCGACAAAATACACAGTCAATTCTCTTTACAGTATATTCTGTGAAGCACTTTGAGATGTTGGTAAGATGTGATCAGGCGCTAAATCAAATGCAAGGATTAAGGATTAATATTGCGTTGATTACTCACTTAAGACTTGTGAATCTCACGAGCAGCACAAATAACAGCAACATATTTGAATACTTTTATTATCTTTCTTAACCATGACTCGATGATTTAACTATAACTCAGGCACACAGTGAGCCACAGCAGTGATTCCTGCACCTTTCCTACATTAAAACAAAATATTTGCTTGCATGGAGGATTCTGTAATGTCAGTTCACTAGTTGAGAATGGTTATGAACTAGTAATAAATAATAATAGGATGGATAAATTCATCATGTTAGTGCATCTCAGGATGTTTTACATAATGAATCAGTTTGAATGTAATTTGAGTTAGCAATATTTCAAAATGAAGTGTCAGATCAAATTTAATAATGTTTTGGTAAATTTGGATGAGGGAGGATTGTTGGCAGGACACCTGATTTTCTTTGACAGATTGCCATGTGATCTTTAACATCAGCGTAAAAGAGCAAATGGAGGAAACTGGTTCATGTACCATTCGAAGGATGTTGCAGTGCATTGTTCAATTGGCACTGCACTGGAATGTTGGCCTAAGTTGTGACCCTGAGGCAAGAGTGCTGCCAACTAAGCAGTTTTCTTTGACCGTGCCTTCAGCTCCCCTCTCGACTCTCTTCCCCCTCCTCGCTTCCTCCCTTCCCTCACCCTGACCATTTCCCCCCTCCTCGCTCCCTCCCTTCCCTCCCCTCACCCTGACCATTTCCCCCCTCCTCGCTCCCTCCCTTCCCTCCCTCACCCTGACCATTTCCCCCCTCCTCGCTCCCTCCCTTCCCCCTCCTCGCTCCTTCCCTTCCCTCCCCTCACCCTGACCATTTCCCCCCTGCTCGGGTCATGACCCAACTGTGCAGCGCCTTGGGACGTCCTCCTGACGTGAAAGGCGCTTTATAAATGGAATCTTGTTGTTGTTGTTGTTGTAAGCAAAGTTGATCATGTTTGCTACTGATTTCTAGCACAGCAAATGGCAAGTATAACCTACGTGTGGATTCTTGCAGATTTTGTTGGAAGAATAATTAGTGAGCAGCTTTATGGTATGTTCTTTCCAGCCTCCTGCAAGTCCCATCTAAAGACCTTTCTCTTCAACCGTGCCTTTAGCCACCCTTCCACCCCCGCCCCCTCTGTCCTCCACCCCTCCTGACCCCAACTGCCAGCTCGGGTCCAAAAACCCCTGACTGTCTAGCGCCCTGGGACGTCTTTCCGACATGAATGGTTCTGTACAAAGTGTAATTTGTTGTTGTTTATTATTTACTGCAACTAAATAATAAACATAATGATGCCATTCCTGCTTGCATGTGTTTATTAACTGAAAGCAATCCCTTTCTGTCTTTCCTGCATAGGAAAAGATGTATTGAGTTTGGGCTCTCCTCAGCAAAAGGTTAGCACAGATGCAATTGCTGCATTGCACGAGGCTGAATCATTGCCAAGTCTTATTGCCAAGAAGCCCAAAAGGCCCTTGTCTCTGCCGTCATCTCAGCAGACCAGTGTGGTAGAGGTTTTTATGAAAGGAGTCTTAAAAACAGAGAAAAAACAAAACATGGGAGGTGTTGTGAAATGCAGAGTGTTTCAGAACCCTGGCTCTCTGAGAGTGATCGTACGAAGACTGCCTTTCGAGTATAAGTCTGAAGGTGGCACGGACAGCAACGTGATGAAAAGTATCAAAGTTTCTTCCAGTCCTGAAATGGCAACTTCTGCAACTCGGGAAGATATCAGTTCTAAATGGAGGATGGAGGATTGTCGAAGTAGTAAAAATAGTTTGTGGCACAAGTCTCTGCCGAGCAAACGGGAAAAGTTATTGCCACCCAATTCCCTGGATGTTCTGAAGTACAGTGGGAAGAAAACTGTTGAAAGCAAATTGTACCCGAGGCCTCGTTTATCTCTTCGGAAACTCCGACATCAGCAAGGGCCATTCAAACCCGAATTCCAGACCACTCTTCAGGCCTACAAAAAGGAGCGAGAGCTCAAGAAACTCAGGATGGAACAAGGAAAGCATCCTTCATTTTCTTCAACAAAACCACTCTCGGGTCACATCGTAAATCAGGCAAGTCAAGTAACTGAGTTCTGCTCCTCCCCCCCCCAACCCCCTTAAAGATTTTTCACTTTACAGGCTCCATTTTGAATGAAAAGAAGTTGAAGTAAATGTCCTTAGGTGCCATGATTGAGGTATTTTACCACCAACTGTGGCATTTGATCTTGAGATCTCACTTGGGAGTTGGGACCTGGATGTCTGAGAACCTTGAGCATTCTCATTTGTCTCTAGAGTGGAATTGAATGGGAGCTGGAGTGAAGCTAAATGTAGTTGCATCTGTTTCCTAGGACTCACGACAGCTCTTGGAAAGGGGGCCTTCACTCCTTCCTCCTCTGTCTACGCTGGATTTCAAAGCCAGATAGCTGAGGTGAAAAAATTGTTTGTAGTACATTGTTGTTTGTGACCTTGATCCTCAAGGCTTGTGTTTTTTTTAAAAAAGAAAACCTACTTGCCTTTATATAATGTCCTTCATGCCTGGTAGGCGACATTGGACTTCAAGAACATCGGGGTGGCTAGCACGTCACAAGCTGTCCTGTAGATGCCCCCATATAGCTGATGAGGAAACTCTGAGGCTTGGGGCGATAACCGCTGAAAGGCGTAACCTGGAGTCCGAGCTTGTGAACACACATTTGTACATCCATAGCAGCAGTGTCTCAGAGGCTTGCACAGTGGTGGGGGTTTGCACATGGAGCTAGGGAAAAGGGATAGGTCATCATAGATGTCCATTATCCCCCCTCAAGTCCTTTCTCTAGAATTATTTGTTGCAATAAAATTTCACAACTTTTGAAAAGTACCATACAATAAAATCTGTTTGGCATCTATAATTATGATCAGATTCAGATACAGTTAAAATGTGGGGTAAAGGAACAGCAACATTTATGTCATGCCCTTTCTGCAGGGTAGTGTCTCAGAGCTCTTGAGGGAAGGAGTAAATTAAAGCAATTGTACAAATAAGAATTGTTAGCAACCAAGCTGACAAATGTTTATGCTTAAAATGGTCACTAGTTTAAGAAACGTCTGAAAAATGTGAGTTGCACTGTGTAGAAATGTCAATTTAATGTACACCTGCTATGCTCACTTTTAATGCATGATGCAAACAAACCACAGCCTATTTTTTGTGGTCAGTTGGGTGTCTGACTCATGCAGAAACCCATCACCGTGCTTAAGAGTCTCCAAACCAAATTGAGGTTTGCATGCCTCCCACCTACATGTAGAAATCCCAGAGATAGATTGTTGGAATGAAATGGGCTCTCTCTCCCTGGAGGGAAACGTCCTGCTTACCTAATTCCAGAGAGTATTAGGCACAGGCTGGCTAAGGCTTGGGGACCCCAGAGTTTGCGTTGGGGTAACTGCTGGAGTCTAACCAGCTAAAATGGCATAGCCATTTAGCTGTTGCTATCACTGCCTGGGAAGACATAAGCATTTTGAGGTGGATTTCGATGTTGGTGGTTTTAGTGCTTTTGCAATGGAACTTTCTACCACAGCTTATAGCGTGAAATTTTTTGTGCATTTATGTTTAGCTCTCAATAATTATCAGAATTTTTCACAATACTAATCTGTTCTCTCTTATTTTGTGTTTTGGTTTTGTGCTCCTAACACCCTGTTATTTTTTGGGGAATCATTTGTATAGAGTCATCAAATTTCCAACTTCAAAAGGGCATATTCTCTACCTTCAACATCATTCACAGGTAATTGAAGTCGTCTACATAAAACAGAGCTGGTTTAATGATCTGAATGTTGTGACTACTTTCTTTGTAAATTGAGGTCTCTGAGGATTGCATAACGCCACTTTATAAAGCCTTTGTCATATTTCTGCACAAACATGACAGGGCTGCAGTAGCTTGTCACATATTTCAATTATTGCATAATATGAGCCATTTGTGTCAATATTTTTTTGACATTGATTAAAGTTAAACAGTTTGTAGCCATTCTCACCCACTGCTCATGCACATGCAACCTTTCACCAAGATTAGGGTTGGTTTACAGATCCGAATGTGAATGCATTATAAAAATCGCAGTTGCTTCCAAATTCACCCCAGATTCAAACTAGTTGGCCTGCACTGGCTCCATGTCCCCTGTCCTTGTCCACCCCACCATTGGCGGTCTGGCCTTCAGCCTCTCTGCCCCTACACTTTTGAACTCCATCCCACAGTCCCTTTGCCTCACCCCCTCCCTTGCCTCCTTCAAGACCCGTCTCAAGACCTTCCTCTTTGACTGCGTCTTCAATCACCCTCCTAGGCCCACGCTCCACCCATCCTGATCCCAACCCCCAGCTCGGGTGTAAATCCTTGACTGTCAGGGCTTTGGGAGGTCCTCCTGACGTGAAAAGTGCTATGTAAATGTAATTTGTTGTGGTTGGCGACTCTTATTGTTTGCAGGTATTACAGGCAAATACCCCAATATTTGCCAACATGACTTTCAGCTCTTCTTATTTTGTAAGCGTTTGACTTATTTTTTCAGAAAGGTAATTTTCTGTAGTTGGCGTTAGGGAGCGGAGATGCCTTAGCTATTGTTTTCAGTTCTGGGGTTGGGTGGGAGGGGGTGAAAACTGCTTTTGTGCAAATATTTGCATAACTGTTGCCTTTGTTTGAATGTGTAGTCAGTGAATTATTGTGGTCCTTGCAGGGAGCAGCAGTCTTTCTAGTCCGAAGGAATCTATTCCAAAGCAGGTAACAAAAAAGCCACCTCGAGGTACACCTGCTGAAGGAAACGAAATGTGCAGTCACCAAGTGATCCACAGGCTGCATTCCTACCCTCCTTTATGTGACAGAAAAAGCTCAATGGGTACCTTCCAACCCAGGTTTCCAGCGGGGCGGCCGGTTTCTTGTTCGAAAGACATTGTGATGAAGAAGAGAAAACTGATTTCAGTGGATGAGCGCATCCAAAAAAAGAGGAAATGTTTGTCGGTTCCGCCGCACTTAGACACACCGTTTCACAAACGGAAGCGAGGGAGCAGGATGGCTAAAAAATACAGCAACGGTGTGACTGAAACTGCCTGCCACGGTGTGCTGAAAGATCACAACAACGGCGTGTTGGAAGGTCAGGACACCACTGCTGCTCAGGTGGATGATTTTGCAGACTCCAATTGCTGCCTGGGGGTCGATTCCTCGCTGGACGAAGAAACCTCCACGTGCTCCTCTGTTAACTCATACCCCAGAGTGTCTACAGAGGAGAGGGCAAAGACAACCCTTGGCTGTGTCATCTCTTCAAAGGAAAACCGTTCGGCAGAATATTTAAACAGACGGTCTCTGGTTCCATTTGACAGCAAAAGAACACAAAGGCCGGACTTCACTTTTGTACCCATTTCAGGAGTTGATGAGGACAGTAAGTCTGTGCTACCCTCGCAAGAGAAGTGGCTCTCAGAAAGGCCTGGTACTCTTCAGTCATCGGAGAGTAACAGAGTCTCGGAAAGGCAACAGAGAGACACTTGCAATAGTGTGGACAGTGACAGCGATTTTCACCTCAATTTAGACACTGATGAAGAAGGTGAAACTTTAATGGCTTTAAATGACCTCCTGACTCTTCACACCAAAACCAAACCAATATCTACCACCCATGAAAAATGTTCCATCGCCGTTCATTCCTCAGTCCCCAGCTTGCCTCTGGCTAGAATGAGTGTAAGTCTGATAGATTCCTGCAGTGTTTAATAGCTATATTATTTATACCCGTCTCCGTCCGTACCTCATAACAAAACCAGCTGGAACCTTTGTCACTTCCCGTCTGGACTATTCCAAGTCTCTCCTTGCTGGTCTCCACCATACACAAAATACAACAAATTCAGAACTCCACGAAACTCCGAACCCCCATCATACCAGTTCTTTCCAGGCTCCCAATTACTGAACAGATCGATTTCAAGATCCTCTCGCTCATTTTCAAATCCTCTCATGCATTGGCACCTCCCAACCTCTCCGACCTGGTTACCCCCCAATCCACCACCCGCTGCCTCCGCTCGGCTGACTCTGGCCTCCTGTTCGTTTCTTCAGCCACTAAGCCCCAAAACACTCTCCCTCTTGCCCCCTCCCTCCTCACTTTCAAATTCTGCCTAAAGACCTTCCTTTTTGATCGTGCTCACGGTCACCTCCCCCGGCTCGGGGTCAGACTCCGCCACTGTTAAGCTCTCCAGGATACTACCCCACTGAAAGGGCACTATATAAATGCAAGTTGTTATTTTTCCACTTTTTGTTTTTAACTCCACTGGCTCGCAATAGGAGTAAAAAAATAATCCTTGCATTTGATCTAATACCCTTAAAGGTAAAACGTCAAAATTCATTTTAAAATATTTTCATTAAATACAGCAGCCGTCCTATGAATACCTGTCAAAATGAACTAATATATCAGTGATTGTTGGCATGGACACCAGAGAAACTTGCTTCTCTTGAGTAGTGTCACAGAATCGTTAACGTTTACCTGAACAGGTAGATGAGACCTAACTTTAAGGTCTCTTCTCTGACCATACACAAGTCCCCAGTACCTCACTGGAGTGTAGTTCAAACAACAACAAGATTCCATTTATAAAGTCCAAACTTAAACCAGAACTACTGCTTAGACAACTTAGACAACTGATGTTGGAAGAAACTGGGTGGATGGTGACAGGTGGATGGTGACAAAGCGTAGCTGCAGCCTGTGCAAAAATATGCACAGCATGTGAGCACATTTTGGACAGTATTCTGCTTACAACAGATATTTGAGGTATACAGCTTCTTTTGCTGTCTGCTGATGCACACCTCAAATCAAAATTCTGTGGCTATCTGCAAAGCAAAAGTAATTCCAACTCTGTTACATCACACGCATCATTATCCTCACCACAGGACTTTAGTGTATGCATCTTAAAAAGTGAGTCAACTACTAACTCTGCCTAGATAATAATAATCCTTGGGTTTGATATAGCACGTCATTGAGACACCTTAAAGTGTTTCACAGAATATATTGTAAAGTGAATTGACTATACTTTTGGGGCTAAACATAGCAGCCAATTGCGCACAGCAGTGTCCCACAAACAGTCGTGGATTCAGTGACCAAATTATTTTTTTACAAGACAGCAATCAAAAATCTACTTACAACTGGGTTCCTATTTACTGCTCGGCAAACAGGCAGGTGCAGTAAGGAACTTGCCTAAGGTTTTGCTCTGCCTGGGACTTGAACCGGGGCTCTAACCAATATGCTACTCTAAAACCAATATGCTACCAAACTCTACAAGTGCCAAGAAGGCTAGACAGTTACATGATTATAAAGTATCAAGCCTCTTGGCCATTGTGCTGTGGATCATCACTTTGCTGCAGAAGTATTTTCTCCCTTACGTTCCACTCGCCTTTCATCCCTCGTGTTCGCAGGTATAGCACGTACTGATTTCATCTTTTGCATTTCAGTTTCCAAATGCCGGCAAATCTGCAACGTATTCCAACAGCTTTGATCGGCTAATTAAAGAAAAGAAACGGTCCGAGAGGTAAGCTCTCTCTTTATCCTGGATGTATTTGGGTAAATGCTCCATCTGTACAATAAGTGTATATATTCTTGCAGAGTGTATTGTTTTTTGAAGAGCTGGTGAATCTGAGTGACATGTGCTTTTATGGTGTAGAGCCCCCTCTGCTGATTATACAATCCCACACCACTTAGTTCCAAAATGGGATAGAACACTTTGAGCTACTCCAGCAGAACATTAATATTGGAGTCTCTTCTAAGATGTTCCAAATCAGCACAACACAAAAGAAAAACACATCCCAATTATAGAATCGTACAGCACAAAAAGAGGCCATTCAGCCCATCGAGTCTGTGCTGGCTCTTTGAACAGAGCAATTAATGTCAATCCCACTCCCCAGCCCTTTCCCTATAACCTGCAAACCCATCCTCCTCTAATACCAGTCCACCGCAGTTTTAAAAGTAGTTATCGAATCGGCCTCGACCGCCCTTTCAGGCAACGCGTTCCAGATTCAAACAACTCACTGCAGGAAAACATTTCTTCTCACCTACCCTCGGCTTCTTTTAGAGACTATTTTGAATCTGTGACCTCGAGTCACCGACACACCCACCAGTGGAAACAGTTTTTCCCTTTCTAACCTATCAAATCCCCTCATGATTTTGAAGACCTCTATTGGGTCTCCTCGTAACCTTCTCTGCTCCAATGAGAATAATCCTAACCTCTCCAGCCTTTCCTCATCATCAAGGTCCCTCATTCCTGGTACCATCCTCGTAAATCTCCTCTGCACCCTTTCCAATGCCTTAACATCATTCCTATAGTGTGGTGCCCAGAACTGGGCGCAGTATTCTAACTGAGGCCTAACCAGTGTTTATATGGGTTAATCTTAACCTCCTGACTCTTGTACTCTATGCCCCTATTTATAAAGCCCAGTATCCCATATGCCCTGTTTATAGGTTTATCTCCCTGTCCTGCCACCTTCAAAGATTCATTTACCTGCACCCCCAGGTCTCTCTGTTCCTTCACCCCCCTTAAGATTGTATTACCAGCCTATATTGCCTCCCCTCATTCTTTCTACCAAAATGCATTACCTCGCATTTCTCCACATTGAAATTCATCTGCCATGTGTCGCCCATTTTACCATTCTGTCTATGTCTTCCTGCAGTCGGCTCCTATCCTTCTCACTGTTTACCCCTTCCCTAACTTTGTGTCGTCCGTAAACTTGGAAATGGTACTTGCTATACCCAAGTCCAGATCATTTATGTATATTGAGAAGAGCAGTGGTCCTAATACTGATCCCTGGGGGACACCACTGTACACTTCCCTCCAGTCAGAAAAGCAGCCGTTGACCACAACTCTGCTTTCTGTCTCCCAGTCAATTCTGGATCCACAGCCACTGTCCCTTTTATACCATGGGCTTCTATCTTTCTTACAAGTCTTTCATGTGGCACTTTGTCAAATGCCTTTTGAAAGTCCATATAAAGTACATCAACTGCACTACCTGTATCCACCCTCTCCGTTACCTCATCGAAAAATTCTATTGGATTTGTTAGATAAGATTTGATTTTAACAAATCCGTGTCGGCTGTCCCTCATTAACCCATATTCTTCTAAGTGAAGATTTATTCTGTCCCGGATTATAGTCTCCAGGAGTTTCCCCACTACTGATGTTAGGCTGACTGGCCTGGAGTTCCCAGGTTTATCCTTCTGTCCCTTTTTGTACAGGGAGTCCCATTGGCCACTCTCCAGTCCTCGGGCAGCACTCCTGTGTCCAACGAAGATTGAAAAATTGTAGCCAAAGCCTCCGCTATTTGTACCCGTGCCTCCCATAGTAACCTTGGCTGCATCTCGTCCAGACCGGGCGACTTATCACCTTCAGCCCAGTCAACCTTTTCAGTACTTCCTCTCTGTTTATACTTATCCTCTCCATTTCCTCTCCCTCTCCTCCGATACTGCGGCATTTGGTGCATCCACTTCTTTTGTGAAGACAGATGCAAAGTACCCATTCAGCACATCAGCCATACCCTCTGCCTCCACAGTAAGATTTCCCCCTTGGTCCTTAATTGGCCCCACCCTTCCTTTGACTAGCCTTTTTTTCTTGATATGTTTGTAAAATATTTTAGAATTCCCTTTAATGTTACCCGCTAACCTTTTTTCGTATAATCTTTTTGCCCCTCTTATTTCCTTTTTCAGTTTTCTTCTGCACTTCCTATATTCTATTTGGTTGTCTTCTGTATCTTGGGTTTGACATTTGTCATACACCTCCTTTTTCTGCTTCATTCCAGATACAATTACCTTCGTCATCCAGGGAGGTTTGGAAGCCCTCCTTTTCCCTTTTGTGGGAATGTATTTATTCTGTCCCTGAGCTATCTCATCCTTGAAGACTTCCCACTGCTCTTTAGTTGTTTTACCTGCAAATCTTTCTTTCCAGTCCACCTTTGTAACTCACTGAAATTTGCCCTCTTCCAGTTGAATATCTTCACCTTAGATGGTTCCTTGTCTCTTTCCATATGCACTCTGAATCTAATGATGTTGTGATCACTATTACCCAGATGCTCTCCCACTGAAATCTGCTCCACTTGCCCTACTTCATTCCCCAGAACTAGATCCAGCACTGCTTCCTTCCTCATTGGGCTGAAAACGTACTGATCAAGAAAGTTGTGCTGTATGCAATTTAGGAATATTTCCCTCTCCTTGCCTTTGTGCTGTTGTTTTGCCAGTCTATGTTGGGATAATTAAATTTCCCCATTATCACAACTCTATTGGCCTTGCATCTGTCTGAGATCTGCTTGCAGATCTGCTCATCTATTTCCTTCCCACTATTTGGTGGTCTATAGTATACCCTGACCAGCGTAACAGCTCCTTTTTTGTTCCTTAACTCTAACCGGATAGATTCCGTTTTGGGGCCCTCCAGCACCTTGACCCTTTCCATGGCTGGAACTGTATCCTTGATTAACATTGCCACACCCCCTCCTTTTTTTCCTCCCCTATCCCTCTTGTATACGTTATAGTCAGGAATATTCAGCTCCCATTCCTGTCCTTGTTTGAGCCAAGTCTCCTTTACTGCTACTATATCTTATCCCCCTCTGACCACTTGAGCTGCAGCTCACCAATCTTGTTTGCTAAACTCTGTGCATTTAGGCACATGCACTCCAAGACCGACTTGACCTGTTCTGCACTTCCCTCCTGTTTTATTTCTCCATTTTCTTGCCTTTTGTTTTTTGCATTCCCTTCCCCCCTGAAAACTAGTTTAAACCCTCCCCAACAGCATTAGATAGCCTGTCTGCAAGCACATTCGCCCCAGCCCTGTTAAGGTGCAATGCATCCAAACGTCCCAAAGTGCTTCACAGAACACACTGTAAAGTGAATTGACGGTATATTTGTGGCGAATGCGGCAGCCAATTGCGCAAAGAATGTCCCACAAACAGTCGTAGATTGAAAATGACCAATTTATTATTGTTTTGGGTTTTGGAGGGATTATTATTAGGCTCTGTGTGGAGTAAGGAAACTTGCCCGAGGTTTCGCCCTCTGCCTGGAATTGAACTCAGGTCTCTCGCTTGCAAAGCGAGTGGTCTACCCACTGAGCTACAGCACTCCACAGGGGATACAGGTCCCACCTGCCCCAGAACTGGTCTCAATGATCCAGAAACCTGAAGCCCTCTTTTCTGGACCATTTCTCCAGCCAAGCATTCATATGCTTGATCCTGCCATTATGGTACTTATTTGCTCGAGGCACAGGGAGTAATCCAGAGATCACCACCTTGGATGTTCGATTCTTTAATATGTTCCCCAGATTTTGATATTCACCCTGTAGAGTCTCAGCCCTTTTTTTTACCAATATCATGGATCCCAACCTGGACCACCACTTCTGAATGTTCTCCTTCCCCCTGAAGAATTTTATCCACCCTTTCTGCGATGTCTAAGACTGTTGCACCAGGCGGCAACATACCATCCTTGACTCCCGTCTTCTGTTACAGAAACGTCGGTCTATACAGCATTGCTCCTGTTACCTATGTCCCCTGTTCCACCACTCGGTGTATACTGTCCTCCCTGGAGATATCAACATTCCCAATGTTCAGTACAGAGTACTGGTGTGAGAGAGCTACACTATTGTGGGCATTCTGCCCTGCCCGTCCCCTCTTCCTACCATGCCGGATAGTCACCCAGTCATTTTCCGTCTGAACCCTCGGTGTGTGGGGTGGGGTGACCACCTCCTGCGGTGTCTGGTCCATCAAATACTGCTTAAGAACATTTAACTTTTTCATGATGAATTGCAATCTCTGGTGGAGTGAAATGCTGATCATTTTGCACTTTCTCAGTAAGAGGGAGACGCAGCTGAACGAGTTGAAGAGGAAATTGCAGAATGAATTCGACACTCTTAATTTGAGTTGTCTGACTGAGGAAGACGATGAACAGAGTTTGGATGGAGACTTGGAATCGATTCCAGATGAACATAGGTTAGTGATGGCAGAATTGCAAACCAACACTTGATAAATAATAATAATAATATATGGCATAAGTGAGGGTATCTGTTGTACATGATGAATCTGATTGTAGATGTGCTGTGTGGTGTGGAGCGCCGTCTGCTGGTTATACAATAGTGATGGCACCCAATGCCCCCACCGTTGCACGAATGTCCCCATGATGTGAAGGGTGCAATATAATACAATTTGTTGTTGACAGCAGGTTTCTTTATTCTTACAGATTTGTTTTAATAAAAGTTTAATGGAAAACCTCAGCATAAGACCTTATTGTGCTGCACTGATCACAGAATTATTATTGATAAAAAATAATTAATTAATCAATAATAATTGTACAGCACAGAAACAAATCATAATTAACCTCCCCATTAATGTTTTGATTTGTGTTCAGGGAATTCTTTCGCAAATTCTCAGTTAAGTCTGACGGAATACCCGACTTGCGTCCTGGAGAAAAGATTTTCAACTTGTTGAAGTCTGGAGCGTTTTTTAATCAACATAACCTCACCTTGTCTCGGTCTGAATTGACCCCTCAGAATTTTCTGGAAAGAACTCTCATCAGGTGGGGAAATTGCTCTTTTTATTCTTTATCCTGGAGGAATTAACTACTGGAACAGGTTACTGGGAAGAGTGGTTTAGGCCAGGACAACGGACTCATTTAAAAATCCGCTTTGACACTGGACTCTTTTATATATAAAAAAACTCCTGATCTTAACCCCCAACTCTGGTCCCAGCACCTTGGGAGGTTCTCCCGATGTGAAAGACACTATACAAATGTGATTTGTTGTTGGTAGTGGTGGAAAGATGAGATTGGATGGGTCAAAGGGCTGCTTTTATGCAAACCAATCTTGTGATTCTCTTAAGAACAACAGTAAAGCAATCTCCTTCAAATTGTTTCAGTTATACTAACTACATGAGAGTGGATACAGCTAACTGTAGCTGCGTGGTGACTAGTTGGAAACTTGGCTTCAGGCCAATTCCCCAATTGCTGCCACAGCTGAGATCAGCATTCTCATCGTGTTGGAATTCACACCTGTAGGTTGTACAACAACAACAAAATTACATTTATGTAGCGCCTTTCGGGAGGACTTGGTGAGCAGTGGGGAATGGAGGGTGATCGAAGAGGGCGGTCTTGAGCTGGGTCTTGAAGGAGGCAAGGGAGGGGGTGAGGTGGAGGGACTACGGGATGGACCTCCATAGGGTGGGCTTCCATAGGGTGGGGTCAGAGTGGCAGAAGGCCCGCCCCACCAATGGTGGGGCAGGCGAGACGGGGGATGTGAAGCAGGCTGGAGCCTGCTGAGCAGAGGGAGCAGGCAGGATGGAAGGGGATTTGGAGGTTGCAGAGGTAGACCATGGAGGGCTTTGAAAATGATGACCAACTTCTACGATCTCTAGAGCCTGTGGACCTTCGTTTTCTGTGCTGTATGAGGCGTTGTCGTTTTCTGCCACAACATTTGGAAGATCTGCACTTCACCAAACTTCTGCTATTAATGAAAAAGAAGGGAATTTTTGTGTGTGGTATATCCTGTGAAGCGCTTTGAGACATCTCAATGACGTTCGCTGCCCCAATCTACGGGATAATGCCATCCACCTGACCGCTCGCTCCCGGTCCCCGCGTGCGCACTATGGCTGCCGCTTTGACCCGAGCCCCCTCACCCCCTCCCTCCCTCCCCCCTCCTCTCTCCCCCCAAACCCTCCCCCCTCTGCATCTCTCCCGCTCTCTCCTCCTCTCTCTCCGTCCCTCTCGCCTTCTATCCCCACTTGACCCTCCCACAACCTCCCTCTGCTCCAGCCTGGGAATCCTCCGCCGCGCTCACCGTGGCACTCGGCGTTGGCTGTCCAGCAGCAGCCACACCGACTGCCCCATTCCCCACCACACTCGCCAGCCACCCCGGACACAGACCCGGGGAGTCAACCTCTCCTCCCTCATCCCCATTCCCCCCACCCCTGCCTCACAACCTGGACCCCCCTCCCCTCCCACACACCCTTCTGTCAACCGCTCCCTCCACATCGGACTGCAAAATGTCCGCTCCCTCTGCAACAAGGCCCTGGTCATCAACGATCTCATCCTTGATGAGAACGTTGATATCATGGCATTAACAGTAACCTGGCTCACCCCAGGCGACACCTTCCCCCTCACGGAGGCCACGCCACCCGGCTACACCTCCCACCACATCCCCCGCCCCAACCGCCCTCTGGCCTTCAACCCTCACCGACCCCTCTTCTCTCTCCCTCCTCCACAATACCCTCTCCTCCACACTCGATACTCTTGCCCCCATCACTTCCCGCACTGTCTCCTACTCCCGCTCCTCCCCCTGGTACACCACCCACCTCCGCTCACTGAAAAGCCAGGTGCGGGCCGCTGAACGCACCTGTGTCAAATCTGGCCTAACGGTCCACCGACAAATCTGGCTGGACCTCCTCAAAATTTACCGCTCCACTCTAGCCTCGGCCAAGTCGTCCTTCTACTCCAGGATAATCCTGGAGGCGAAGAACAACCCCAGGCTACTGTTTTCCACCACAACCCGACTCCTCCGTCCCCCCCGCCACCCCGCGCAGGTCATCTCCTCCAACCTTCACTGCGAGGAGATGCTGGATTTCCTTGAATCCAAGATCAAGGGAATCCGCTCCGCGGTCACTTCCCCTCCAACTTCCACCCATCACCCACCCCTTCCCTCCCACACTCCGACTCCTACCCATCCTCCCCTACACACCTTCGTACCCGTTTCCCCACCCTCTGTCACTGAACTCATCCTATCCCTAAAACCAACCACCTGCTCCCTTGACCCCATCCCCACTCCACTCCTTATCTCCCAGCTCCACTTTCTTGCCCCACATATCACTGACATCATCAACCTGTCCCTCTCCTCTGGCTCTGTCCCCATTCCAATAAAAACTGCCACCATCACGCCCACCCTGAAAAAACCCTCCCTTGATGCGTCGCAGCTATCAAGTTACCGGCCCATCTCCAACCTCCCCTTTCTCTCCAAGGTCTTGGAAAGAGTTGTCGCCTCCCAACTGCGCTCTTTCCTTTCCACCCATTCTCTTTTCGAACCCCTTCAGTCAGGTTTCGGTGCTGCCCATAGCACAGAAACTGCCCTGGTCAAGGTTACCAATGACATCCTGACCATCTGTGACCAGGGCTCCCTCTGTCTCCTCGTCCTCCTCGACCTATCGGCAGCATTCGATACGGTCGACCACGCTATCCTACTCCACCGCTTGTCGTCTCACCTCAACCTTCAAGGCACTGTCCTTGAATGGTTTAGGTCGTACCTTTCTCACCGTCTTCACTTTGTCTCCACGAATGGCTTCTCCTCCACCCCCCGTACTGTCTCATGTGGTGTCCCTCAGGGCTCTGTCCTCGGTCCCCTCCTCTTCACCCTCTATATGCTCCCCCTCGGTGACATCATCCGCAGACATGGAGTTAACTCCCACATGTATGCGGATGACACCCAACTCTACCTTTCCTCCTCTACCCTCAACTCCATGACCACCGATGTCCTGACAGCCTGCCTGTCCGACATCGAGTCCTGGACGAGAGACAACTTTCTTCAGCTCAACGTGCGAAAAACCGAGGCCCTCCTGATTGGCTCACGTCAGCGCCTCCGCACCTCAGGCGCTGACACCATCAGCATCCAAGGCTGCACTCTCCACCTCTCAAAGCCAGTCAGGAACCTCGGGGTTCCCCTCGACCCTGAGCTGTCCTTTCTTCCTCACATCCGCACCACAACTGGCACCGCCTTCCATCACCTCCGGAACATCGCCAGACTACGGCACTACCTCACCCCTCACGCTGCTGAAACCCTGGTTCACGCCTTTGTCACCTCAAGGCTGGACTATGGGAACTCTCTCCTCGCCGGCCTTCCCGCCACC